ATTGCATGTAAATTTGCTTCTAATGAAGCATCCAGAGTTCTATCTAGATTATATTTAGCACATGTATTTGTACGCTGAAAATGCGGTTATTCTTTCGTTTTTACATCCATCCTTCGTTGTTGTTTACTGTTTACTTAGTGCTTGTTGTTTTGCTTTGAACTGATTGTTCTGCCTAATGATGAATTTTAATAGAAACTGTTTTCAATTGTTCATGACACATAATGTCTAGTGCTTTTCGATATAGGTAACATCAGTGCTGGGCGAATTCCACCATGGGGCCGCTTTACCAGAGGGCCAGAGAAATTGTTGATTTTTCACGCGCTGTATATGGTTCCCTGTTTGGTTACCCAGTAAATGATTATTAGGAACTATTGAAAGTAGACCGGTTACCCAGTAAGATTATTAGGAACTACTGAAAGTAGACCGGAGATGTGTGGCGATTCCCCCTCGTTGGGAAGCAATTTTTTGTTTTGACAAAAGGGAAAGCTGTAAGGTAAATTATGCAGGGTTTTGTACTGAGCCAGCCATTTCACCCAGCCATTAGCTGTATCCTGATTTGATAAGCGTAATCTGCAGGTGTAAGTTTAACACTTGCTTGGAATAATCACTGATTTGTATTGTAGTTTCTGAATGGAATGTAATGTAATGCTTTTTATACGGCAATAAAACTATCCATAAACGAATAGTGAGTGTTACAAACGAAGTTGTGATCAACTGAGGAGGTGTTGCTCTACTTTGGAAATGCTATTCTTGAAAATCTAGCAGCCTCTACCCCTCCCCCCAACCAATACAAGGCTGCTCAGGACGAGAATCAGTGGACTCATTATTTTATCAACCTCGAAACTGCCAAAATAAGGAAAAGGAAACCATTGAAAATGAAAATTAATTGGCTGAAAAACCGAACAAATGAGAAATATTGAGGAGGACGAAGGCAATGAGGTAGCCCAGCTTCCGTCTCGCTTGTGCCCTGAAAAGGAAGTCGCGCAAGAGCATAGTCCTCCCTTTGCTCAGCAGTGAGGGCATAAGGAATTATGGTGAAAATGGCAAAGAATGTAGGAAGTTGTTACTTCTCGACAAGAAAGAACGACACAGACAACTGTTTCATGCTACAAATCTTCAGAAAGTCGCACGACTCCTCCCCTCTACCAATTTTCAGATTTTCCCCAACTTCCTGCCACTTTTTTCCCAAAATTTCCCGAAAACTTCCCTACTTTTTCCAAAAATTTTTTGCTGTCGAGCGGGGAGGGGACGAGGGGGAGGGGACATATAGTACACATAAAGCAGGGAATCACCAAAAGTCCACCACGCACTCCTACAACGGCCATTACTTAATACGACCCCCTTTCCCGAAACAGTCGAGCAAGTAATGACCCCTTTAACGTCCGTTGAAGGATGAAAAAATCAACAGTCAAAACATAATTTTTCCCAGCCGTACGAACCCCCCCCTCCTATTGGGGATTTCCCCAACAACGCGAGTCTCTGATCAGGCAAACAGCAACGGGCCGAAAGTACCGAGAGCGACACCCGAGGTATCACGACTTTCCACTAGGATCCATGGAGGTAAGTATACACTTCGTCTACAAGCACGGAGCATCGAATAGGCACGTTACCCTAACTTCTACGGAAAATTCTGGATTTGAAAACGCTGGACACAAAATCCAGTGGATTTCTCGTGGAAAGACATCAGACAACGAGAATCCTTACCTTTGCGCATATCTTTTACTTTACTAGGCTCTGAACTCATAGTTATATTTTCTAGCCGCTAACGAAAATTGATTGAGCTTACCAGCATTACAGTATGGTCCAAGGAATGCATTGATGTGTTCGATGTGGTAAAGATCAGCGGCTGCGGCCACTCCCTCGAAGGCTTCTCCACATCCATTGCGTGAGATGATCCTGAAATTACATTTATTGGGTTTGGCGATTTTATTGACGATTCTATCCTCTTTTTGCAGAAAACGACCTCATTTACAGTGCTTGTCTGTGGGCAGTGAGGGGGTGAGGGTAGCCGCGATGGCCGCTTGAGGGTGAAGACGGAACAGAGTAGAGACGCATGTATATTAGGGGAGGTCGGTGTTTGCTTCCGTGGGACGCTCTCGGATATGCACTGGAGACGATCGTAATTTTCGCATCGTCCACTCACCGTGCGTCGGTGCGCGGCGCGCGAATCTCGATGGGTGCAGTTTGTTTGTCGATTGGAGCAGTGGAACTCAGGGAAATTCATGCGAATGCAAGATTATATTCGGAGTTATGTATATATCTCTATGGTCGAATTCAAACGACCGGGCAGGACAACACGTCTATTAGCGGGTGCGATAAGGATGAATTGGGAGCCTCTTGGAAGGAAAAGCAGCTGAGCCTTGAATATATAGTCTGGTAGCTGTATGCTCTGTTACCCTTATTTAGGTTGGCGGAAAGTTCTGTCACTTTTTCGAACTCAAAATATTTGCCCCACCTGAAGAGGGGTGAACGGTAATGTGAGCACTTATACATCAAAGAGTGGTCTTTCTATTATGGTACCACTCGCTTGATCCCTGCTCCTCCTATTCTGCAATATGGACAAGAATGTTATCCGCTACCATCGCCACCGACCCCTCCAAATGCTTCTGATAGTGCAGCGCACTTCCAAAAAAGTTCTAGCCGTTCCTCATGCAATAGAGCTGGATGGCTCTCCCCTTGCAATGGTGTAGCACAGACATTGCTCCTTCTAACTGCGAGTTGCCCCCTAATCAATCATCACGGTCGCTACGCCACGCCTGGCGGCATATTACCATTATCTTCTCACATACTCGTATGTACAGTATATCTCACGATGTCTCTGACTCATTCAGATCCAGGGCTCTGGGTCCAGTGCCATGGGGGGAGGGCCATAAAGGGGCTATAAACTTTTCATATACTTCAGGCTATAAACTATTTAATATACGCTTTTTCTTTTTTTGTTTTATCTTCTACAACCGTGCCTCACCCCCGGCAAGTAGGGGCAAGTTCTTATCAAGTACCCTCTGTTAACTGGTCCTGTCAGAACATAGGCAATATTTTTTCAATTTTCCATTTTTTTTCTTAAACTAACCGTCACTTGACGAAGTCGGCAGGAGACAACACTGAAGTTATTGACAGGTGATACCAAGTCCTTAGAGTAAACAAAAAAAGGTTGATCGGTATTCACAAGTATACAATTTACAGGATTTACCAAGCTGACGAGCGCACGCAGGTGCACCCCCCCCAGGATTATTAGGGATGTGTTCGTTTCTTCTGGAATGTGCCCTTTTGTTTTGGTCCTAGAAGCGTCGGAGTCTGACTGATCTGTGAATCAAGCACGAAAAACAAAAAACAAAGGCATACTCAATGTCGAAACATCTCAAGCGTTCCGTCATCGAGAAGCTCCTGCCTAGCAAGATCCAGGACCTTTTCGTAGTTTGGCATAGCTCCAATCGCTCCAATGTGTCCAATCAAGATCTTCAATGGAAAAGATTCAGGCGATATTGGAGGACAACCCACTGCAACCCAAAACGGCTTAATCAAAAAAAAACGACATACCACATTTGTTCGATTCGAAGCTGTTTTGAGGAACTGCGTATGTGCCTCAGGTAGCTCTACGTAGATAAGCGCTACTGCCAAAGAGTAGATGGTCCATATGGAGAATTGCATCAGCACACACCAGTGCCACTCCGCCAACTGTTAAAGAAAAAAAAAAAAAAAAAAAAAAAAAAGAAAAAAAAAAAAAGAACAGAATGAGTGAACAAGGAGTAATCGGGAGGATTTAGTTCAGTAAGCCTAATCAGCCTTCTTGCATGATTAAATTAATGGCAAACACCTAGCTATATTTTTCCATATAATCAGTTAGAGTACCAGCTGATAACGATCCCACTGAGCAAGCAGCTCCCTCTCAGCTTAGAGCGGTGAGCCGGATTGACTTATCATTATCCACCGTGCACCGAAAGTAGTCGAGTGGTTATACGAGTGAATATACGGCGGTCTCAGTCTTCCTCAGAATGAGTGCGGACAGATTGTAACATTCAAGAAACAGACGGTGTACAAGGACCCCGAATTCGCAGGCTTGAAATTCAAATGCGGAACAGTGATTCGAATTTGTTGAATTGAATTTGCTCTTAAATCTAGCGCTCTCAGGAGGACCAAGATTCTAGGCGGGGAGGCGGATCGAGGGCGAATTCGACTTCCACCGACAGCTTAGGATGTGGCGACGGTGTTGCGTAGGCGTCCGATAAGGATGTTGGGAGCTCTTGAAAGGGAAAAGCACCTGAGCTTTAATTATTCGTCTAGAGTACTGTATGCTCCTGTTAGCCTATTAGGTTGGCGGGGAAGTTCTGTCACTTTTTCGAACTCAAAATTATTTGCCCATTACCTGAAGCAGGGCTTACCGATTGGTGATCGGTAATGTGAGCAATTATACATCAAAGAGTGGTCTTTCTATTAGTAGCACTCGCTTGACTCCTGCTCCTCCTCATTCTGCAATAAGGACAAGGATGTTATCCGCTACCATCGCCACCGACCCCTCCAAATGCTTCTGATAGTCTTAATATGGTGCTGTCCCGGAGCCTCATTGTAATCTGAACATGAAACACGTGAAAGAGGCGCCAAAAAATTTATTGCAAAAAACTCAAAAGACTCAAAAGAATCCAAAAGTTCTTGCAAAAATTTTTGTTTCTAATACTTCCTTCGAATATTTCGGTGCCTAGCACCTTCCTCAGCGATCTGGTCTTCTGCCTCCAATATAGCCTCCGCCGCTCCTTGCAAAAGTGCGACTTCTAGTGTCAACCCTAGAAGTCGCACTTTTAGGAGGCGGCTGGGAGGCTATATTTGGAGCAGAAGAGCCGGATGCTGAGGAAGTGCTAGGACACCGGAATATTCCGAAGGAAATACTAGAAAACAATAGACTTTTTGCAAAAAACTTTTTGGATTTCTTTTTGAGTCATTTTGAGTTTTTGCCAATAAATTTTTTGGCACCTCTTCACGTGGTTTTTCATGTTTCAGCTTTCTGATAGTGCAGCGCACTTTTCAAGAGAGTTTCTAGCCGTCCTCAGTGCCGATAGAGCTGATGGCGTGCGACCCTTGCGAATGGTGTAGATCATGACATTGCTCCGTTCTAACTGCGAGCTGGCCTCCATCATAATCGATTACCGACGGAAAAGACCGAGCAATCTCGAAAAGTCTGAGTTTCAAGCCAAGATTGAGATGATGTCCAACTTTGTATCGCGCCTCCCTGCATTGTGAAGCGATGGCATCCATGAGGTGCTCAAAAACAGGCAAGGACCCCGCAGTAACATTGCTGTACAATTTTGATCTTACACGCCTCTCTATAAAAAAGCCCAATTTGAAAAAAGTGACAGAACTTTCCCTCCAACCTAGTACATTTACTTGTGAAAAACATACTGTGATAATGAAGGATGCCTCCGTAATTTCAAAGGCATAAGGCACGATAATTTGGTACTCACAATCAGTCTGAAATGGTAGCTGGTGTGGGAAATATACAGCGAAAACCTAGGTGAACGATAAATAACCTGCAGTAAAGGCCCTTGTTACACGCGATTTAGCAAGCGATTTCGGACGAGTTCCTCGCTGGCGTCGTGCCAATACACGCCACGGTAGATGGCTGCATGTATGCACTCATGTATCCATGCAATAGCACAGCCGCTTCATATTAGCCCCTTCGCTTCATAATGTGCCTCGCAATGAAAGCGTCACGCAGCAACCAGGGCAATGCGGGTCGGAAAGCAAGTAGGACGGAATGTGGTCGTAAGTATGGTTAGCACTCCGATGGGCTCTACAGGGGTACCCTACTTCCATCCTGCGCTTGCTCAGGAGCGCGGAATACCGTTCTGCCAGGCTTATTGATCCCCACTCGTCTTAGGAACTTATCGTGCCACTAAACACTGATTTCTCTGGGTATACCATAGACGCTGTCAGCTTGAAGGGGGGGGGGGTAGGGGCAATTCTGCGCTATTTGTTAGTGGATCTTGCCTCAACAGGTCTCTACGTTTAGTGAAACTTGTTATATCTTGTTTAAGCTACGGTAATGGTACAACGTGAGCGCTTGTTATTTGAAGTACTTCTGCGATTTCCACCAAGGCTACCTATCACATTTTACTGAGTACCAATTTTAGAAGCTCCGAAGCTTAGGCTTGCCCCCGGCTCATTATTTCATTCATCTCCTTGGTGGACTCCTTTATTGAAGCCCGACACCGAGGGAACCTAGAAGGCGGTCCCTTGATGATATTCATGGGTGAAGGTTATCACTCCTTCAGATGATAAATCGATGTTGCGTGATGGCTGGATACATATTTCTCTCTTGTGTACAACATGATGACGTTCAAAAGGCGAATGCAATTGCTCGACAATTTTCTTGCATTTTCGTCACAAAATGATGTTGATACCACATATTTACAAGGACGCCCCTGTCTTAGGAAACACTGAGGAACCTCAGTGTGGATCAAAATGATGTATTTAAATATTTAAATATGTAGAGATACTAAAATCATGGATGTCAGAACCATATGATGGAGTCCCTCCAACACTATTTAATCGTTGCGCTAAAAGCCTCTGTAAACCACTTACCATAATCTTCAACATTTCACTATTTCTTGAATCAGTCGCTTCCCTTATGGAAAGAGGCTTTAGTCACTCCGAAAGTTCCTAACACACGTTTAGTCACTAATTTCAGACCCATGAGCAATCTCTTCTGCTGGCAAAATACTAGAAAAATCCTGAGGAGATAAACTTGTTGGGATGGCTTACTAAGCATCACGTGATCCCCAATGAAACACGGCTTTTCGCAAGGTGCCTCTACCGCTACACAGCTTCTCGATAGCACCTTCGACGGTCTTCTGCTTTGAACTTGCCTCGAAACATTCTATGATGTTATATATTTCGACATCTCAAAAGCATTTGATAAAGTGAATCACACGAAACTCATACTGAAGTGTAAAATGATTGGTCTCGATGGAAAATTATTGAACTGGCCAGTCTCATATCTTTTAAAACGTCACATATGGGTGGAGGTTGGCAACGCCTTCTCCATGTCCCAGCAGAGTGCCCCAAGGTGGGGTACTTTCCCCCGATTTTGTTTCTCATCTACTGCCTTGATCTCCCAACTGTATTGAGAAACCCACCATTCAGTTAAGATACAGATTTATGCAGATGACATAAAAATCTATGGAACTTATAATCAAGAAAACTATGGCGAGGTGTACAATGCCCTTTCTGAGTCTATTGCAATTGATGGTGTCGTCCGTGACTGGAATCTACCCATAAATGTAACTAAGTCCTTCGTATTCCATATTGGACATGGTCCCTGCTCCCAATATCGGTATGAAGGCATTACACTACAGAGACGAAATCTTGTGAAAGATTTGGGTGTCACTTACACCTACTGTTGACTTCTCTAATCATATAAATGAGATCGTTGGTAGCTTCTAAAAAAATTTTTTTTTCCCCATGCTACTTCATTTTTAGGAAATATGCCCACAGCTAAAGAACAGAACCAGGTTTTTCTATAGACTTTATAAAGCATATTGTCGAATCCCAAAGCTTGATGACTGCTGTCAGTATAGAGTCCGTTACTTACGCCAAGTAACACAATTGGGGGAACAATTCGAAGTACAACGAACTTTCACAAGGCTTGCATGATTGTATAGGTGTGTGGATAGGGTCTCATGTCCCATCCCGCGTATGCTGTTCCTTAATCTAAAATGAGAGGGCTGAGACTTTTCGGACTGAGAACTCTTTTTATCGGAGAATCTACCATGACTTCGTTTTCTGTTTCCAGTACTGCGCAGACTGCGGGAGACCAAGCTAAATCCAAGCAAGTACTGGGTTTCCAGGCCTAGTAGTGGGCGATCGAATAATTTTATCTTAGACAATCGTTCGATAAAAAGACCGTACTGTTCCAAAAATTCACAACTCCTTTTTGTTGCACGCCGCAAGATGGGGTCACCATACTGGAAGAATATGGCGAGTATCCCCAAATCCTTCAATTTTTCGTCGAAACTTAAAAAGTGAATATACTGTCACCACTGAACATTGAAGATTTTTAGTTTATGCTTTTTTCACGAAATCAATCTCAGTGCTATGAGCTTCAATGAAGAAAAGTCGCTGACCCTGATAAGATCGCTTTCATTCATCTCCGCGTATTTTTTAAAAACCCACTGTTGCCATGTAAATCTAACTTCATAATTTACTACATTTTCTGCTTCGCTGATTTGCAGTCTGATCCCTTCCCACCACCTTTTCTGAAGTCATCCCTGTATATCACACAATCTTTGTATAGAGCAGTAATCTACATTCGGCTCAACTCAAGCCGTGACCAGCAATACTCACATAGAATCAGAAATGTGTCAACACATTCTTAATATCACGTTTTGAAACTCACGCTCTTGGTGATGACTTCTCACACAGGTGCCGGTTCATGCTTATACAACTGGCTTACTTAGTGCGTGGGATCTTACGCCTGGGGTTCGAATTTATGGACCGAGAAGCAGCTACTTTGGCCCGCCCCGGAATAGCCACATTTAGTTGCGTTGCTGACCTTTCATCAAATGTTATCACTCGCAAATAACTCAACATCAGTATTGGTGCTGACCACTGTTAGATAATTTCTCATATGCATAACTGGTTAAGTTGGTAGTGGCGAC